TCTAAAATAAGTTTTTATTTCTTGTTTCTTAAGAAAAGATCAAGAAATTCCACTCCCATTTCTTTCATCATTTTGTTTTCTCAAATACCAAACAGAAAAACAACAGATCCACTAAAAAAACAAACAAGCAAAAGACCAAGATGAGGCATACAGAACTGCAGTGAAAATAAGCATAATAAACTTTCCACCAAAGAAGAAAAAAAAAAAAAGCAGAATGAACCTATCAAAATCACAATCGTTAACGATTTTGCATATCCAATTTCAACATCATACAGAAATATGAAGAAAAAAAGAAGAAGAGAGAATTGCAAAGAGCTTTTGTGAATCCTTACCTTCCTTTAGAAGTTTTGATTGGCTTCGCGTACAGAGAGTCTGCCTAGCTCTCGGGTAGAAAGCATGGAAGAGAATATATAAACCTTTATGTTAAGGACCCGCATCACCACTTTTTCCAACTACCCAAGTTACGCTGTCGAGGGCTATTGAGTAATTACAAACATGGGGTCCACCACTAAGAAATATGTCCGTCCACCGTCCAATAAAAAATCGACATATCATCAAATTTATACACCTCAGCACCTTGTCGGTTGCAATCCTCCATTTTGTTTCCTGCGAAATTGTTGCGCATGCGTGGGCTTCCGAGTAATTCTGTTGTATGACGTGGCATTCTCGTTAGGTCCTGATGATTTAAAATTATAATTGAAAGGGTTTAATTTATTTTATGCTAAATGTACATAAAAGTTAATTCAATTATTATAATTTTTTTTTTATTATTAGAATCAGATCTTATAGGTCTTGTCCAAAGTTCTACGTTTGAATTAATTTCAATTGATTTGAACCAATCTCATGGTTTAGGTTTTTTCAAAAATTGTTTGAATTGGTATTTTTAGTTTTGAAGTAAAAATTCTAAAAAATAAACCTTTCACAGTTTAATTATTTGTTTTAGGCCTTAGAAACATTCAAATCACTAAGTTACAATCCAAATGACTAAAGTACTTTCCAAGACAAATCAGAGTCTATTATATGAAGTAGAAAAATTATGAAATTTGATTGGAGCAATTGTAAAGTGGCATTGAAAGGCAAAATAAGGTTTAATTGCAAGATCTATCAACCAACCTTTAAATGCATCAAAAATCAGATATGAAAGGCTCTCCCCAACGGACTTCTCAATAATAGAAGAAAAACAAAAATTGAACAATTGAAACTGTTCTGAATCTTCTTCTTCTTATGAGCTTTCTAGGTTAATTGTTTTTACTTACAAGGGTATTATATTTTTTTTAAATTGAGATAATCCTTAAAGGAGTTGTGTAAGTTGTTGTGTAAGTTGTTGAGATAATTTACTTGTGAAGGTTTAATCTTGCACCAGTAAGTAAGAGAATTTTAGTGGATTGAACTCTTAAATAGGGAGATTTGGGGAGTGAACGTATTTCGGGTTGAGAGAACTACTATAAATTACGGCTTGATATTCTCTTTTTTTTCTTTTTATTTTTTTTCTGTATT